CAGCACAAAAGAAGCCACGAAAAGTGCATAAAAAATCATGATAAACTTTGAAAGTATGAAATAAGCCAGGGTAAGATATATCAGCGGCACAATAATTGATATCAGTATCAGGGTATAAAATATTTTCTTTTTCTATTTTTCCTTTTCTTTTTCTGAGTCTATTTCTGACCCATTTTCAAAGCTTGTAAGTTTTTTGCTGAGGTATATGTAGGATTTCGATCCACACAGCCCACAGAATACGGGAGTTTTACGTCGGTCCTAAGACATTAGAGAACTCTTTTTGAGGTCATACATAGGTCGATGTCATGGCTTTTTTATACATTCTTACTCTTGGACATAGCAAACGACCCCGTGAGAGGAAAACGATTACCGTGATATATACGCCGGAATTGGAAATATCAAAATTATCACTAGCACGGAAATTATACATGCCTTTTCGGGGATCCTGTCGTACAGATCTATAAAAAAATACACACAAGGCCACGTTGAACAAATCGCCAAGCGAGGATACCGCAGGAAGGATAACATGATCCGGGTTTACACTAAAAAATATGGATGCTTTTATTGCCAATATCAATTCTAGTTCTATTAATGTGGTGCTAACAAAACAAGATGCCAGGCAACTCGCGACAATTCTGAAAATGTACACGAAGCCGCTCATGTTCGTGAACAAAGCCTTTCCGGCGCCTACCAGTCCAATAGTAAGCCCTATAACTATTGACTGCGCAAAGGCCAGACAGGAATTGTCAAACAACACATATCTATTGTACTTTGAAGCCCGCATGTTCACAGATTGACTCATTGTAGAAAGATGCATGGTCAATATCAGCTCTGTATTTCCCTTAAATGACAGCATACAGCTTGAAATGAGCAGCAAAGGATACTCTTTGGAAAGCTCATTACTTTGAAACTCAAGTTTTAGAAGTGATCAATAAAAACACGTCTTTTTTGTCCAAAAGCACTAACTTCCTGTAAAACTCTCTTCATGGCAGCAAAACCTCCGTTGCTGGGCTTCTGAAAAAATTAACTTTTAGAGACAGTTCGAAATGGAATGTTATCGCAAACATCTGCAACAACTTAACAGTTAATGGAGCTTGTATAATTAACCTATGGAAAGCCCTCTAAAATCTACGCAATTTGTATTCTTTCTAAACCAAAGGGCTCAGCATTGTGAAAGAATAGATCTCATTTTTCGATGAATTCCATAACTAATTTCTATTGATTTTTTGAACGAGGAGTAGTGTTCACTTGATAGAAGGTCGAAAGATACAGTGCAATATCCGCTATGTACTTTATTGATAAATACATTTAATTTTGGAGTCCCATGGGATCGATGGAGAACAGTGTAATCTATAAAGCTGCAAAATTTGTAAAAAGACTGTACAAAATTGTAAGCGATCCGGAGGTAAAGGAAATAGACTGGAGCAGATCATGTAAATTATTTGCTATTCACAATAAGAAAAGATTTTTGAAGAACGCATTCCCACTCATATCAAAAACCAAGGAGTACTCTGCCTTTGTTAGGCTACTCAATCACTATGGATTCACTAAAGCCACCAGTGTAAGCGACGATGCTGAATAGTATTTTCACCCGAATTTTGTTAAGGACGGAGAACAGAATTTAATGTTCATTACTCGTGTTAAGCACAAGCAGCTGAATATCAATGACGAATTAATTAACTACAAAAAAGAGAACCAAATTATGAGACATAACTTGGAATACTTGAGCAGCAGCAACTATAGACTAAATACAGAGCTGGCAAGCATAAGAGAAAAAATGTACAAGCAGGACAAAACGATAGGTGGATTGATAGAGGTTCTGTCCAGAGTTTTTAAATCAGGAATACAGACTCACAAACAAAAAGCCTTAACAAGGGAAGAAAACAACCAATTGCAAAATATGTTGACCAATGATATAATATATTATGTGGAACCACAAAATAAAAGAAGAATGACCAAAGATGAGCTAGAAAAGTGTTTAGACATGAAGCCAGGGGATATCAGCCAACTGATGCTTATGGGGGATAATAACATCCCACCTGATGATAAAGAAACAGATGATGAAGATGACAATTTTAGTCTAAGCGATTTTTTTATTATTAAAATATATTTTTTTTATACCAAGGACTACGAGATACCATGCTCGGCCTCTATTCTCTGCTCTAAACTTTACTTCTGTATGAATCACTAGGTTTTATCCTAAGCGAGTATGTTTAATCATATTATGCGCAATGTATCAGCACAGATGTGTTTTTTTAGTATGTTCATAGTTATGTTTAATGAATGGAATATCTATTCGCCCAATCTAAATCACCGTAATGGCACTAGATCTGTCCACATGTCAAATAAATAAAAATCGCCCTTTCAATGAGCGAAGATCAGAAACCACTAATAAAAAGGAACATCGATTATGACGAAAAACTAGAATTTAAGATACTTCTAATNATCTAAATCACCGTAATGGCACTAGATCTGTCCACATGTCAAATAAATAAAAATCGCCCTTTCAATGAGCGAAGATCAGAAACCACTAATAAAAAGGAACATCGATTATGACGAAAAACTAGAATTTAAGATACTTCTAATTTTCCTTTTTAACTTTTATTTTGCCTACTGGCTATTACCAGAAAAGAATATGTATAACACATTTCTTGCTGAGAAGTCCTATAAATGATCGTTACAACCAATACCATAAAAATTACCAAATAAATATATGTGATCTTTTGAACTGTCCGTTATGCTTTATTCTGAAAAGTATGATTGAATCCATTTCTCGTATTAAGTTTCCTTTTTCCTACTTTCAAATGAATGGTTTGGATCATATCAAAATCATGACAGTGTTTTCGTATGCATAGCCTAGTACATAGTTTTTAATAAAAGTAATTTGTTTAACATAAGTTTAACTATCCACTAAATATTTATACCAGTGTAAAGGCCGCTGGAAATTATAGGTCATTTCATAAATAACCGTGGTTTTTTAGCAGTAAAACGAAAATTATATAAAGATAGCACTGACGATATCCAGCACACGATATGCATGCATTCTTAATCTAAATCTGTTGCATTACGTCACCTTATCAACAGTTTTTAGCCCTCAATGCGCCTTAATCGAGCTCTAATGTAGCCCAGAATGCTCCTTATTTGAGAGTTCAGAGACTCTTTCAAAAGACGGGCTTCCTCGAGCTTGTGTAGCATTTTGATTCCTCAAAGGCATGCGGCAGAGCGTGATCTGTCAATTTCCATCGTTTGCTGTTTTTTTTTCTTCACACGAAAGTGCCACACCAGCAAAAATATTAATAGCAGTGCTGCAAAAAACATTTTATCGAATATAACTGAATTCAGGATGCCTGCAGCTTGTACATCAATCGGCAATTACTTATATTTATGAATACTTGTTGCCATTGAAAACTCCAATTCTAACGGTCTTATAAACACCCTGTACTTCTTTTATACTTGGTAAATTAATATTGTGCACCCATGTACTTCCACTTCCAATTCTTGTGGACGCGTAGTGGCAAAGCTGTTTTGCTCTTTTTCGATAAAAAACGATATCTTTTTAACTGTTTCGAGGGATTTCAGCGAT